ATTGCCGTGAAACTTTGGGAAGTTGTTTAATATACTCCGGCGAAGGTTTGTGGCATAGTACATTTATCCTACGATAGATGGCGCACGTTTACACGAGCATTTGAGCACAGTGTGTTCGATTGATTTCAAATTGTGAAGACCATTTCCCCCTTCAAAAAATATCTCTATATATGCATTTGTGAACTGTTATTTACGATATTTGTAATAATTTTTGTTTAATCACTTTATTTCAACTTTCTTTTTTGCTAATTATGTATTCGCTCGAACTTCGTTAAAACTTTAACTGTATACTGAACAACAACCGAAGTTGTAGAAGGAAATTCGCCTATTTTACAGATCTAGGGATCCCCCTTTTCCAAATTTTAATATCATCTAATAATTTAAAAAGACAAATTACAATAAAACGGTTTATTATCCAACTATCAGAAATTTCACAACATGCCAAGGAAGAGAGGAAGGAGCAATTAAATAATTAAAATTATAAAGGATTAAAAAATATATACATATAAATGGGAAATATCGCACTTCTGACAATCGCTGCGAGTGTATGGGCTAAATTTGAAGAATCCGTGCTTCTCGCGTGGACAACTGTATGTGGCCAGCTCACGCATCAGAAAATCTTCTGATTTATTCGTGTATGCACCAGACGGAAAAACAAAAAATATAGTGTATCCACAAACACTCCAATAAATAAATAGAATTGAAACGACACTTTGAAATGTTTGACCGATGAAAATGAATAATAATAATAAGTTTCAATAAAAATGATAAAATGTAAATTGAATTTTATCATAACGAGTTTGCTTGAATTTCCTTTCTTCTGAGATCGCAGCAATGCGCGACGGGTAAGCTAGTAATACAATAAAATATGTCTGAAATGCATGTCTTGTTCTTCCATTTTTAAATTGGGATAAAAATGAAACTAAATAACTAATCGATACAATTTTTTTACTAAATTAAAGGTGGAAGTCCAAACAACAAGAAAACAATATAGGTTAAATGCTTTGAACAAGATGACAAAGCAAAAAAATGTGCTAAAGCCAGCTATTGACAAAATCTGCAATCACTTAGTTGCCAACCCTATAGATCAGGAGACTGACTGGACTTACAAGAGAAGACGGCTCTCTTTTTCCTGGTATGTTGTAGTTCGGATACCCCCTGTTAGACAGCCCCCTCGTTTTATAGATAGAAATAGGCAGATTTCTTTAATCGGATTTTAAGAATGTTATCCAGAACTTAATTTTTGATAATAAACTCTTGTTATTTGTATTTGACTTTACATTCATCCTCCTGAGAGGCTCATTCCTGGACTTCAGAGTGACTCTTACCCTTGCACCTTAACTATCTGGTTAAGTCAAAATCGGTGCCGTGTCCAACAAAACACATCTGGTGGCAGGACCCTACCCTAATCTAACGTAAACTAACTTTTGACGGCCCCTGGTCCCCATAAAATTGTCATTTGTATACAATACTGTTTTTTATTGTAAAATGATAAAATTATATTATACTAAATTTTTTCTTAATATAATACTGATTTATGAAATTACTTATTTTAAAAAAGAAGTTTTAACAATTATTGTTATTTTTATTAATATCAAATTGTTTGTTTTCTGATTGTTTGTTTTCTAATATCAAATTGTTTTTAAATTGATGATGATGATAATTTTAAAATATTGAAGAATTGCTATTGCAAGTTTATACAGTAGCAATTGAAATAAGATATATAATATAATTATCATCTAACTAAATTATATTTATTTTAGAGGTGACTATTTGAACATCTATTATTAATTGTTATTTTTATTACATTAGTTGCAATTATAATTAATATTTGAACAGTTATTATTAATTATTTTAATTATTGTGTCAAATTCATTACTAGCAATTATTATAAATGTTTCAATAATCATAATAATAATTTTAATTATTATATCAATTCTATCAAGAGCAGCAAAGTTCCACATTAATCTTTCCAAAATGCATATCATCGATTATGATTAAGAATTAAATAAATTAATTAAATATAATTAACCAGTTTCACAAAGTAGGCAAATACTAATAAAATTGCAGTGTTATTTGATTATGATAGGAGGAGTATAGAAAATGTATGCTGTAAAAACTTAATTAATTAATAATAATAATAATTATAATTTTTTATAATTTATAAGCTGTGATATTTTTGGTGGGTAAAAGCCTTACTTTATAAAATTTCAGTTTCTTTATTGCACATAGTACATTTTGTTTTATAAAAACACAAATATTAAACTTAAATTGTTTTCAGATTTTGAAGTTTGCTTCACTGAATTGCTTGATAAAATTACAAATGGAACCCTTGTGAATATAAATGAAACAGGTATTTATTACTGAATAATTACATTTTAATTTTAATAGAAAAGAAAATATTTGTTGATATATTAATTATATAAACAATGTAAAAAGTGGAAGCTGAGAATATGTAACAAATACAATTAAAACATAGGAAATAAAAATTATAGTGATATATCTGATTTATTTATTTATCTATATCCACAATATTATTAATTTACATTATTAAGAAGTTTTTATTTTTGCTGTTTTACGGTTTTTTAATATACAGAATGAAAACAAATTCTAGAATAATGTAAAATTGTATTTTGAAGCTTTTTTTCAGTGCCTTCAAGGAGTTGTTTAATGTTCTAGTCTTTTATTAATTTATTTTTAATCAAGACATTTTAATTAAAATTAAGACATTTGAATTATATTCTTTTTCTGATTTGATATATATTTGATAATATAACTTGTATTCTACAATAACAAATTGACTAAGGATATTAAATAATGATGATGTTATAAAGAGAAGCTAAATAGTTTAAATAATTAAATATAATAAAATACAGCTTTTTTCCTGAGTGAACAAATAATGATTCCATATTAATATTCTCATAAAACAAACTTTCAAGAACAAAAAATATTTTATTTGAAATATTTTCAGATTATGTCTCATTGTGAATAATATAAATAAAAATCTGTTTTCATTCTCCAATTTAACATATTTTTTCACTGACCTCTTCAAATCTTCATAAACTATAATATTAATGTTACTGACCATCCAAACAGTTCTAGGAATTATCAAGAACGAAATGGTTTGTGATAATGAAAGAACATTATATTTTATAGTTTTGGCTCCTTTGCATCCATTTCTAGGCTCACAATTTCATAACAAATAGAATAAAGCTATATCATATTAGTTTTTAAAGTTCACTATAGATTTTGAGGTCCAGATACAGCATTCCTGTAAAAACCCAAATGTTATGGTAACAAGTACAAAATACAAAAAGCAGTATTTAATGCACAATAGCAGTAGTAGACAAAAATGTGTTTCTCTATGTTTCAAACTTAGAAACTGCAATTATGAAGATCTATCAAATCCTCAACAGGAAACTCAAATATACTTGATTAGTTTCACAAGACAACTTAAAAGTTTATTTTTATTTAAAACATGTCCACAGGTGCTGATTGTTATAGGTCTATATTACATTCTATGAAATAATGAGTTTAATAGAAGTATTTATACTGGAACATATGGTTTTTTTTTTTTCACTTTATCCATTCTAATGCCAAGTGCACATGTATTTGTACATTCTGATATGTTTTAAGGATGTTTGAATTTTCATATGCTGCAGTTTATAAGACATGTTTATTAGAAATATTAGTTTTGCTCTAACCTTCAATCTTCATTATTTTCATCAAATATTTTTCTCTCTCATATCTCTTTTCTTGAGAAAGAAGCAACAAGTCAAAGAACTATGGTGCAATTGTAGTTATTTATATGCTATTATCATGGATCAAAATATAATAAATAGAAAAGATGTAGAAAATTTTGAGATATATGAGGAGGATATTCAGAAAATAATATTCCATTATCATAGTAGCATATGGTATGTTGTTCTTCTGAATTTTGAACTGGTTTTGGTTTGTATTGCTAAAGATGAAATGTAATGTTTAAAATAAAATTTGGATTTTTTAATGAAAGTCATGGTTCTTGATCTGACCTGTAAGAATAGAAATAGTTTTATTTTTATATTTATTAGAAATGTAGAATAAGTGTATAATTCTCAGTGATTATATTCATAAATATTTATTTATTATGAAATGTAATATATTTAATATGTTAAACAGAATATTTTTAAAAAATTTTGTAAGAAATTTTAATTTAAAAATAAAATATATAAATATATTGAGATTAAAGTTTATTTAAAATATTATACTATATACACAACAATAATATAGTTTATTTTACTTCTATCAGGAACAGTTGTATATTATCAACCAGGTTTATTATATGGAGGGAAAATAGAACACGATTGTGGCACTGGACGTTCAATAGGATATTATTTAGAGGCTTTGGTATCTTTAGCTCCTTTCTGTAAAAAACCTTTGAATGTTACACTTTATGGTGTAACAAATGATGACTGTGATCCTTCTGTAAGTGTGTTGTCTATTTTTATTTTTAAATGTATATAAATGTTTTTTTTTTTTTAAATAAAATTGAGTTATTATAATATAGTTTCTTAAAATTGCAAAATTCTTGGCACCATATTGTGAAATTAGAAATCCATACTACTTTTTCCCTCAGGTAGTCAAATATTTTATTATGTAAAAACATTCTTGGCCTTTTTTTTAGGCCAAACTTAGTTACAGAAAAGTCTTGCAATAGAACATTGAATGTCATGGAATTGAATAATTGTTATTTTAATTTAAACTATATCGTAGAATTCTGGAAACTCAACTCTTGATGAGTTTTACAGAATGCCGAGTTATCATATCATTCAAAAAAAAATAAATAAATAAAAGCATATAACATAATTTTTACCTCTGTAACTTACTTGATCCTAGTGTTAAGTTATCATTCTTCACTGGCAACATGTGATAATAGAATCAATTTCATTTGTTAACAAAGAATATAACTCTTTTTCCAAGGTGCCACTGCAAAATGCCACAATGCAAATGTCACTAACTCAAAATTAGCCACTAAATAGCCAAATTTTAATTTAAAAAAAAAAATATTAACTACAAATAAAAATACTCACTATTGGTACATAGTTAATATGTATATAAACTAGCAGACACCTCCACACATTGTTGTGGCTCAAAATGTATCTATTATAAATGTATAACACTTTCCTCATGAGGGAGTTTTTCGAAAAATCCCTTCTTAGTGTACATTCTCTTGACGTACCCTATTAAAACGCAATCAAAGACGCAAAAACCCGAGACGCAAAAAGACGCTAAAATAGTATAAATAGAAGCAGAGTTCTTCATGTTAAGCCTTAATTTTGTCCATCTCCCCCCAGTGGGGGGAATTTCGACATATATATTATATAAAAACACATGCGTATTCAAATGCAACGTTGTTTCAAAATTTCAAAGGAATCGGTAGGAACAAACGTTACATTTTTATTTATATAGATAGATAGAAGATGATCTGCTTTAGTTCATCCTCACAGAAAAGCAAATTTAGGTCATCATACTCGCAGAGTTAGTGCCATCTGTTGGACATAAAAGCTTTAATCCTAGATGATATATTTTAATTTATATGAATGTTTAACGGAATAATATACAGCTTATGTCCACCCTGAAGGTCCATTCTAAATATTGGTGAAAGATTTTTTGAAATCAGATGAGTAGTTTTGGAGATTATCACCTACATCCAAACTTACAAACTTTACCTCTTTATAATATTAGTATAGATTTGTACATATATCTTTATAAAAATTCCACAATTTAGACTAGCATCATCCCTTGCCATAAAACTTGTCATCATTTCAGTCCACATCAAGTTGAGTTTGTGATACTTTACTGTATAAGCGTATTAAAATTATTCTGAATAAAACCTAATTACAAGAAGAAAATAATAAAATTAATCAAAATAATAAAAACTTTTTCAAGATTTTAATTGAGATAAATACTATGATAATAAAATTTTAAGAGAATTGTCATCAAGATATGAAATGGTCACGATGATGAGATCAGTGATGGGTGTATAATTTATCAATTATGTGTTGTAAATGAGAAATTTCTTGTATTTAACAATATAGTCAAATTAGTGCATTTTTGGCATTAATCACATTAACATGTTTAGATGATGTATGAATAAATGTATGCTCTAATAACCTAATGGTACTGTACATTCTTTCACTTCAGTAATAATAATAGGAGCATTCCATTATGCTTTAACATCTTACTCTAAAACTTATTGTGCTAATGAAGTAGTTGCAAAATTATTAAAATCAAGTAGTAGAACCATTGTGATACAAATTCTTTTGGTATTTAGTAAGTTTGATTATATAGACTCCAGCTTTATCCATATCTTTCATTCTGTCCTTATCTGACCTTGATATTTGCATAACAGAAAGCAAATCTAACAAAGTTTCATGTTTGCTTTATCTATATAATACCAGATGAGTTCAAAAAATATATTATATTCTGTAATTTTGAAACTGAAAATTGTATAGATGCAACTCCTGTTCTTACTATAAAGTGTTCTCTGCGGCTTATTTTTGTTGGGAGAATGAACTACCCAGCTAATAAATTTGACTCTTTTCAATTGACACTTTATTCAATGAAAGATGAACCTCTTTATATGTATAAACATTATTGATAGCATATTCTTAAAATAAAAAGTGAGTTGATCATTTCTGGAGAAAGATCTGTGAGAGCAATAGTAAATCAGTAAATTTGCATAAAGTAATGAAAATTGTTTTTGTACTTTCGTATAGAAATGCTAACATTGAAAGAGGATTTTCAGTTAAAGAGAAGTGCATTGTCAACAATCTTACAAAAAAGTTCTTTATTGCAAGGTAAAATGCACATGAAGGCAGTACTTCAATTGGAGGAATACTTATATTTGCATGAAAAAAGCATGAATTATATGCTAAAAAATTTACATTTATAATTTCAGGAAGCTTCTTTGCCAAAAGGAAGAAAAACACAAAGATTGTCAAATTGTAGAGAAGACGAAGAGACAAAAAAGAAATATAGAAACTGAAAGAAAAAAGAGTAAAACAGACAGAAATTGCCCAAAAAAGAGGTTGATATTACTGAAGATGAAATAAAAATTCTCAGAAGTATGTATATCTGCACTTTCATTGTGGGCAATTGAAAAGTATTTTAATATGTCACAATGGCCATGAATCACTTGTTTAGCACTTCATTAGCAGATATTTCTTCAACTCTTTATGTAACTGCAATATTCTTGAAGAGCAGGCCTCAGAGTCACTCGCTGTTCTGAAGTATCCTCACTTTTCAAGTAATTTTCTCACTTTTCTCACTTTTTTGGTCATTTTCACGTGATTAATTAGGAAGATGTAGGACCAATCAAAAATACTTTTAAAGCCAGACAATCTGCTGAATTATCAAATTATTGGACTAGAATTTTCTGAACAAAAATACTTGGCTCGAGCATAATATTAGTGAAAAAAGCACTTACAAAGACATTTTAGGCATTGCAAGAGCTCTTCCATGTGACATTGCTGAGAATACTTTGCAGGACAAGTGGCAGCTACTTCCATTTGAGTGACTTGAGAGTGATTTGACAGACTCAACAGATGAGAGAATTGACTATTATTGGAGTCAGTATTTTAAATTAGTTGACTCTGTTGGGAATACAAGATATCCCAGTGTAACCAAATTAGTGAAATCAGCATTGACCCCTTCTCATGGCAATGCTGATGTGGAACAGAGATTTTCAATTTTACGTCGGGTGCTTCCTCCTGATAGAGCATCTGTGTCAGAAAGAATGCTTAAATCACTTTTGATTGTTAAGGAGGGACTAAACATGTATGACCAAAGCCCACACCTTGTACCTATTACAAAGGATCTACTGAAATTAGCTGCTTCAGCACACACAAACTATCAAGGACAATTGGAAAATGAAAAGAAGTTAAAAGAATAAGAGAAACAGAAAAAAAATAGCAGAAGAGTAAGCACAGAAACATTTTGAAGAACATCAAAAGAAAGCTGTTTGTGTCAAGGAAAAAATTATGGTACTGTAGCAGAGTTTAAAACAGAAAAAAAGCAGAAGAAAGTAAAATAATTGTATTTTATATAACCAAAAGTAACTGCTTTGACAGATATTAATTCTCATATAACCTTTTTACAGCAGCAAAATACTTAAAAATTACTAAAAAAGTTAGTTATTAAAAGACCATCCTCAGGTTACAAACATTAAATTGAATGATTTAGAAACACAGAAATAACATAGAACAGAACCAAACCATTTTAAAATTAAAACAAGTATTTTATATAACAAAGATTTTAATGTGTTTTCAAAACTCTTATTTTAAGTTTATTTTAAAGAATTTTGTTCTGTTCTGTTTATATAACTTGAAAACATTTTGAGTTGTTTAATTATAAATAGCAATTGTTTTCTCTTGAACTATTTACTTTTTGAAATTACTTCTGGTATTAATATTTTAGTTGATCAATATGTGTATATTTAAAACTTTTTTCAGGTAGATGCCATAAAATATTCATCATTACCTGTACTTAAAAAATTTCTAATCAATAATGAAGGTATCGAAATAAAGATAATTGGTAGAGGAATGGCTCCTAATGGAGGTGGTCAGGTGAAATTCACCTGTCCTATCTGTAAACAGTTAATGCCAGTACAATTAACAAATCCAGGGAAAGTTAGAAGAATCAGAGGTGTAGCTTATGCAACTAGAGTTTCTCCACAGATGGCAAATAGAATGGTAGATGCTGCAAAAGGAATACTTTTAAAATTTTTATCAGATGTTTATGTATATACTGATCATTGTAAAGGAAAACATTCTGGAAAGTAAGTAAAATATATTTTATTATTTAATATTATTTGAATGAAATAAATATATTTTACAAAATAATTATTTATTAAATTAAATTTACTGATAAATTTAAAAATAAATCACCATTATTGTTTTATTATTGAAAATTCTAGATCTCCTGGTTTTGGTATTTGTTTAGTGGCAGAAACAACTGAAGGTGCTTTCCTTTGTGCAGAAGCTATATCAAATCCTTCTGGTTCAGATAAAGGTCCTAGTGTTCCAGAAGATATAGGGAAAAAAGCAGCATGTTTACTTCTAGAAGAAATCTATAGGGTATAAAAATTATAAACTACTACATTTCCTTGATTAAACCCTGGGGGTTTATTTTTAAAACATGTATCATATCCCTGGGGTTTATCTGAAAATATTGAGTATTTTTAGGTCAGTTTATAACTTTCAACGGGTAAAAATTGAAAGAAATACCTTAATTCCTATAATATTCGAAATAATTATTGTTTTCATAATTAACACAATTCAGTTATTGTGTGTCATTCATAACTGTTTCAATGCTATTGTAGAAATTAAGATCTTGACTACCATCTTTTGGTTCAAACTCACCATCTCTTTTGGAAAGAGCTGGTGAGTTTGAACCAGGGTTTACCTAATTACTCTTCTGCTAATAAGCTCTCAACTTATGAATGCAATTGCAACTCTCCTATGCTTAATATTCAACAATATTTATACTGTAAGGTCTCTTTTTATGCGGATTATTTTTATGCGATTTTGAAGTTGTGCGGTTTGTATTTCATCCAAAAATTTCTAGGACAAACATACATATAGGCTTGTTTAGGAAGCCTGCGTATAGACAGTCTCCAAAAATTGTGGAACGCTCAAAGCTCACTCCATTTGTTCCGCTGACATATAACGTTTATGGATGTAAAGGACAGCTAGATCTACCCTAATCGCTTTAGTTCCTAGCAATTTTTGATATAAATGTAATTAAACATAAAAAATACTTAA